CTATTGACGGACGACTGAGGGAGGAACAAGCCGGATTCAGGAGCGGAAGATCATGCAGCGAACAAATCTTCACCCTCCGAAACATCATCGAACAGTGTGTTGAGTACTGCCAGCCGCTTGTCATCAACTTCGTTGATTTTAAAAAGGCTTTCGATAGTATTCACCGCGAGTCGCTATGGGCTATCCTGAAAACATACGGCGTACCGCAATCATTCATCAGCATTTTCAAGAATTTGTATCTCAACTCGTCTTGCTGCGTGAGGACGGATACGGGATACACGCCGTTCTTCCAGATTGATACAGGAGTGCGGCAAGGATGCATTCTGTCTCCGATCCTGTTCAACGTCTGTCTGGATTTCGTCATGAGGGAAACGATGAAGAAAGTAAGGGCAGGCATCAGTTGGCATGATCGAAGCAGACTCACGGATTTGGATTTCGCTGATGACATAGCACTTCTTGCTGAAGACGAAAATAAACTTCAGCAGGTCACTACCTGCCTCAGCAGAGAAGCGAGCATGATAGGATTACGTATCAGCGCCTGCAAGTCCAAAGTCATGAAGGTCGGCTTTGACCAAACGCAGCTGAACATCAGCGTTGACGATACAATATTGGAAACCGTTGGCAATTTCACTTACCTCGGAAGTACGATAACTCACAACGGTGATGCTGAAATGGAAGTTCGCATTCGAATAGCGAAAGCTGCTGCCGTATTCCGACGACTCCAGCCATTATGGGCCAGTTCATCGATATCACAGAACATCAAGTTGCGCTTATATTACTCTATCGTGATCCCTACGGCATTATATGCAAGTGAGACATGGAAGAGTACTGCTAGCCTCGTCAAGAGATTGAACGCCTTTCATCAGAGATGCCTACGACGGATAATGAAAATACGCTACACGGACCACGTCACAAATGAGGAAGTTTTACGACGTTGTGGTTCAAACTGCCTCCACGTGGTTGTGGCACAGCGTAGACTTCGACTGGCTGGTCACATTTTGCGCATGGCACAGCAACTAGTTTCACAAGTGGCCGTGAACTGGATACCTCCAGGAGCCAAGCGAGGAAGAGGCCGTCCCAGAAACACGTGGAGACGAACGTTTGAGAATGATCTAAAGATCATAAATGTTTCTAGGAGCGAGGGAGAAATGATTGCACAAGACCGGCAACAGTGGAAAAATCTCGTCGCCCGATGTGCTCTCCAGCACGGGAGGAACTAAGTCTAAGTAAGTAAGGTTACGGCTCAGCCACGTGTTCTCGTTCCCTAATCCCCTGTGTCAAATGGCATGAACGGAGGCAAGCTATTCAGGACTGGGACATTTTGATTATAACTATTGTTACTACGCTTCATTTACTCTTTCACAACCTCCTCTTCCCGAAAGCCTTTTGGAATTCGAACAGCATATAAAAATTCAGTGGTTTTGGACTCTACTATAGCGCTGTCCTGGCAGAAGCACTCAACTCTACGTTTATTTGAATTTGCAGTTTGAAAAATGAAGGTGTGTTAATCTGTACTACGTATATTTATGAAGGAGACGAGTATGAAGAATCATACTCACCTTATACGAAGGGTAGAGACCGTTGGCTTCGGTGCGTCTATTTACTCCTTTGGAAAATCCATCCCAATGGTTACCGGCCACTCCGATAATGTCCCCTACTCGCATCTCGATTTCACCTGGTTGTTCGGGCACATGATCCTCCACGGCTATGAGTTCATGGGCTGAAATCAAAAGGCAAACATTTAAGACGGATTAAGCTGTGCTGAGCTGGATGAGGCCACCCTACATTTGAAGTGTCATACATACTCTATAAGTAGTAAGTACTCAATATCCGTTTTAGAAGCAGGTGTAGTGTAAAGGGAAACATTTACCGTGTTGACCTCCGAAGTAATAAATATCATCTAATGAATGGAATCGTTCACCAGCGTCACCTTGCTGAACTTGCATCAACTCGAATCCCATTCGGCAAACCTGAACTCTTCCAAAAATCGTCTAACTTTTGAGATTATACAATATAGCAGGATTGAGCTCATTAAGGAATTTCCCTATACCACGTTCTTCGATTATCACAAGAATCTTCAAGAAATACCTGGCTGGAGAAGGTGCAAACGAGATAGTTGCAATGGCTGAGAAGTCGAATATCTCTTACAACTCCGTACAGCGAGCTATCAGTGTAGCGGCTTTCCAGCTGAGCCGTATTCGCCGTTTGTTCATCACCATATACTTCATAGGAAGGAAATCTGTAATTGTTTCCAATATGTACTGAAAATCTCAATCATTTCCCACCCGATTCTTTGGTTTCAGTTCTTTTTTACTTTTTTACTTTGATTACTTGTCACAGCGTAAAGATACGACACGATTAGTAGTCCCTCAATAGACCATTGTTTTTCCCATGTTACTTCATCAAGTCATGGGAAAGCTCTCCTGCATTCACCTCCTGGCTTGATATGGCATCTTTGACTATTACCGTAGACCAATCTTGAAGTCAGCAAGCTCCTATTCAGTTACTAAAATTTTCAACCTTTTGGCGAAAAGGCCCTTTACCATAGAGTAAAAAGAGGCACTATTGACGAGCAACAAGGCCTTCGGGTTCCATTCAGAATCGCGAAGGAGTTTGAATGCGTATGGGGTTCACACATTGACATGGTGAGTGGGAGGGGCGTTTTCAGCGCTTTTATCATCACAGACTAGTCTGAACTGCTGTGCATGTAATAATTTTCAGGCTTTTTTGGTTCTCGGAATCCCCATTACAGTAAGCTTTGAAGCCGTCAATTTTCATTACCCAGATTTTAAAATCTACCTCAAATCCACACCAGCATCCTGAATCCAAAAGTGGCCGCGTGCATGCTGGGTAATAACAATGCACCTCAAAACTGTAGCAACCAGTAAGCCCGGGCCCCTCCCAGAAGCTTTATGTTATAGGTTGCAGGTACGCGTTCAGGTGGGTATCATGCTTTCATACTTTACTGGAACTCACTTCTGCTTGATTTCACGGAAAACGGATGGATCATCAGTTGCGACAAACACTCTTCGGGACACATTCCGCCCTTGTTTGCTTTCTTCAATCTGAAGTTCGAATTGAATTGATCAACGACATAGAGGGCAGATTGGGCATCCCTTCTCTTCAACTTACTTTGAACCATCGCTCTGCCCATAGCATATATTCCTCTACAGAGTGAAACGCTGCTTCTGTTCCGACTTTGTCCGTGCGGCGTATTTGCAACCCGACGATTGGACCTGAAAAGGAAGCAAGCAGAGCTGAGCAGTTTTCTAGTATTTTTGGACCAGTTTGCTAAAGAAAACTGCAGACACACCTTTATTGAATGGTATCATAGACAATGACAGGTTCAGAGCTTTCTTCAGCTCTTGCCCGCTCCTCATCAAGTACCACAGGAACTGAAAGTAGCACATTCATCTATGTTTCTTGTATTGGGGCTTTTTTGCCAAAAATGAAAGCTAGGAAAAGTACTGTCACCAAAAAGGTACCTGACTTATGAAAAATGCGGGTGGATTCGAATGCAGCTTCAGGAGCGGTTCCGCAAAGGATTTCGGTATTGACAATGGGAGGAAGGCAGGTCTAAAGTCCGATTTTTTACTTATGTAGCCTTTACAATATTATACATCCCATCGGGAAAAATCGTGTTCTGCAAGCTGAGATAGAGAAAGTTTGAGAAACAGGATTTTTTGATAAGGGAACTTATGTGGCTGTTCAAAATAGAAATAATACTAGTAATGTACAGTCATTACAATAAAGGCACAGTTCACGGTAATATCAGATACGAAAAGTTCCGTTTAGTCAAAAAAAAAGCAAGTGAAGTCCGGCAACAGTTCATAGGTAGTGAAGAAAGCGAGAAAATTAGTTGATTCCGAGAAAAAGAAGTACCCTTAAAAGTAGTGAAAATAGAAAATGTTCGAGATTACTGTAAATGAAAGGGGATATCTCATGAGTCACTTTTATCGCAAACTTTTAACTTTTATAGTGCCTTTAAACTAACCCTTTACAAGGCGAAAGTGATATAGCAACAAATGGTATCAAAGCCCAAGGTGAAATCTCTAAGGAAGAATTGAAATCGTCGGAAGGTAGTACAGGGAGGAAGGAAACATTGTCTTATGAGGCACTCGAATGACAAGTGGTGGTGTTCGACTACCCGAATACGGCTACGAATCCTATCAAAAATCGAGTGTCTATCAAACTTCTAGACGAAATGATAAAAAACCCATGCTTCAACATGGCCGATAATTGACTTATTTGCCTCATCTCTAGTTATAGTTTGACACTAATAACATCAACACATAACTGCTTGTGCTAGTTTCTTAATTGTGTATTTTCTTATATATTTTATTTCAAGGAATGTATCCATTTGAAGAACGTGCGTAGCATAAAGATAAAGGCTCAGAATTCCGCTTACTTATTTGTCAGAGCATCGACAATTCCCAGCTGAACAACTCGCTCGGTTGACTGCAGCGAATAGGCAGGAGCCTGTTCGTCCTGAAAAATGCTAGTTCTGCTTAACCCTGCTTATGAGAAAGTACAACTCGTTCCTTTTCAGCATTTCAAAGTATTTCTGAGAGGTGGGTTCACTTTCGGTGAATGTTTTTCTCTGGGAGGAGAGGGAAACGGGCAAAAGCCGAAAAAAAGAGGATTCGCTTTATAAGCGTATCGTTGGGTTCACCGATGCCCTTAATGTCCATAGAGGGTGATCGAAAGTTAAAGACTGTGTAATTCTGGAGAGCTAGTTGATGAAATCCAGTTCATTCCCATTTCGAGCCCTTATCAAAGTCTGGGTTTGCCCAACACTCAGCTAAAATTGCACGCAACGAAAGCGCTCACCGAGACATCTTGCTGCTTACAGTTGGTAATGGGGAGGAAAGCTCCTGTCCAGCCTTTTTTAGAGTACCTAAAACAGTTCGAGTATTATTATTATTTGTGTCATAAACACTCATGACACATAATAAAATTATTATAGAAAAATTTTGTCATAATATTCTTCATGAAGAAAGTTATTAATCAATCGTTTTTTACATGAGCAAAGTTTTTTTTCCAGAGAAAAATACCGTAGGGTCTGTGCAAATTCTTTTTGGGCTATGCGATCACCTGTCGGACAATGATTTCTGAAGGAAAGTGTGGATCAGTATGGACTCAGAGACGATAACGACAAAGCGGATCACTGTCCCTACTCCTCTTTATTTTTTTTTTACATTCTATTTCTATTCTGTTACCGTGGCCGCATAGTCATGCATTTTAGTTTCGACAGTACTGATATGAAATATGAGCGCAAGTGAAGATGAGAAGCGTTTCATTTTAAATGAAATTTTTGATTTTTATTTTCAATTTATTATTTTATTTTATTTTATTTTTTTGTTGTTGTTGGACTGCTATTTGAGAGCAAAGCTGACCTCCATCTGTGCCCATCACCATTGAACATCATTGTGCGCTGCGAGCCGAACGCCGTCACAAAACAGTAGGCTACATGGTGCAGCTGGCAGCCAAAGCCACACTGTTTGTCCAGATTGCACAGCAGAATTCTAAAAAGCGATTGGCTACGAAAGGTGTACACCATCCTTTGACGATCGTTCAACTGAATATCTATAGCGAGTCTGGGGAGTTCATTAGAAGTTTACGATATTCGTACACAGTCGCACCCCGAAAAGCCACATTTCTCTTTTCCCATTGACTCAGATTCTTCTGTCCATCTAAGGCGGGCAAATAGATAATAAAAGAAATGGTTCGTTTGGTCTCCAGACTCACAAGACGTGCCAGGCGGATACAACTGCTCGTTATCCCCAAAACCACGACTGAGTTGGAGGAAGCCCTACTCTTACCCAGTTATCCCATCCTCTCCCTCCCCTTCTCTCTCCTACTCTGTTATGAGTTTTCCATCTTAGAGATGTGAAATCGAAAACCGAGATGTACTTTGATGGTCAGGTTTTGGAAAAGCAGTCGTTCCAAAAAAAAAATCAGCGGAAGCTCACTTTGCCTTCCTGCAGTCATCTGGATGTTGCATTTTGTGGATTTTGGCTTGGATGGCATCAGTGATACTCTGTAGTGACCGTTTTCGCCACGATGCTGCATCATCCACTTCAGAGAAGTTCGAGGCGGTTGCCAGAAGGGAAAGGAACTGCAATAGTGACTAGGAGGGATCTTTTGATGTTTAACGTTTGTTGTTGTAACTAATATTTTGTAGTTACTGTATGTTCGAAGTTCGGAGAATTGCCAAAAGCCCACCAATCAAGATCGAGTTCAAGGGCTTCAAAATGTGCTCGTTCAAAAGAGGACCAGCTGTGATAGCAGTGTTTCGTAATGCTAACTGTGTAACGGAATAGTAATTGAATAAATAGTAAATAGTAAATATAAGATCAATTCAAAAAGAGGCCAATAACACTGGGCAATAATACCAAGCGGCGCTACAACAAGTAGTGGGTGATAAAGCAGAGATCAATTTTGGGATTAGGCGTATGATAGTTTATTGGATTGCCACCTACATACCTGATTCTCCGCATGGCTTCTCACCAGATCATCACTTGGCTTCATCTTGGAAAGCTTATCCATAACATAGTAGAAAATCTGAAAAACCGTTTTCAATAGAGCATCTCGAAGCCGAAGGCTGTTCAGCGCTGGCAGGTAACATTCGGTCTAGCACCAAAAGCTGCTTTCATAGTCCGCTGGCCGGCGGACTATGAAAGCAGCCAATGAAAAAACGGGGAAAGGTCAGATACCAAAACATTCATGTTCACAGGTAACCGCATAAAACGTCCGGTAAGTGGTAGCTCCAGGTAAGTAAAACCAAGTTGCAAAAAACTTCAAATGGTAAGCCTCAATACCCGAATGATTACGATCCTATCTTATCATCAGTTCTGGTTCAGATGAAAGAACTCTGCATTGCTGAGTGAATGAATTTATATGCGTATCACTGAGATGGCTCAGAGGCGCACCGAAATTTCCTTTGTATAGAAGGAACGCAGACCTCCGATAACCAGGTATAGCATATATGGGCATTAAATAATTTCCTCCCTAATCAAAAGACCAATTTGGTTCAATGCGGTATTACTGTGGGAACTCAAACGAATCATGAGAAAGGCCAGTTCGGGAAAAAAGAAGAAAAAGGGAAAGTTACAGATACCTCCCATATCCTACTTTCGAGCGTTCTCCTTGCCACCTCATGGTCGAGGGAATAGAGATCGCTGCCTTTTGAATTCTCTTCGCCACCATCGTATGGTTCCTCCGGCGACTGTTCTTCTTTCGGAAGGACCCTTAATGGAATATTTCGTATCTTAGTCTGATTTTTACTGAGTTTTTCCTTTTCTTTTCCGAGTAGGGCTAATGTCACCGAAATTCGCAAACTTCATCTTCATCCCAAGCGGAAACAACCTGATATCATAGGTTATTGTGACCGTATTGAATTGGATTCCGGCCAAATTATTACTAATAATTATTACTGTAAAATACCAGTATATTACCACCATTCCTATGCCAATGAGTTCCACAACCGGTGTGCAGAGTCTTGCCTGCAGTTCAAGTAATACGAATCTGCCAGCTCCACATTCACAGTTCAGCCCCGAGCTTAACGGGAGCTTTGACAACAGAAAAGCTGAACCTCGTATGCATATGCAGGTCATCGATTCAGATAATTAAACAAATTAGAGTAAATACTGACTGAACCTTTATTTCTACCTCTAAAACAATAGAAAGAGAGGATTCCACTTCAATCCCGGCCCTACAGCGCTGTGCACTTCCTCATCACCCCCATAACAGGATTACGGTAGCAGGGACAACAATGGCACTCGTGAATTCCAACGGAGGTACTGCTGTGCTTCATTTTGTCCCACTCAAGAGGGGTAATATAGAGGAACGCAAAAGATTCAGCAAAATCCCTCAGCCCACCTTATACAGTATGACTGCACTTAATGGTCACGAGACTGGGAGGCGGGAGAAGGAGATGGAGGAAGGGAAGTAGGGAAAGCGAGAAAGTTTTCGTCGTAAAATTTTTTAAAATTTTTTCAGCCCGAGAATGAGCTATTCATGCAGTGGATGTGCGCTTCAGACCACCGAGAACAGTTGTATGTATAAGTACACATAAACAAAAACACAATAAACATGAACACATAATAAACATGTGAGCAAAGTGGGGGGACTTTGATTCCGATTTTACGTTAACATATAGTATACCTGTTTTTGAGACCTTCATTCTGGGCTCTCTCTGAGGCTCGCTCTCGCCGTTCAGTTTCAATCAGTTCTTTCAGCTGTTCGTTTTGCTTTCGGAGATCATGCAGACTTCGAATCGCTTCATCAAGCTGTATGGACACTTCTTCGCTATTGTATCCGGCTGAAATCAAATCATGCTAGAAGCATTTCCAGACTGGGCTTACGGGGCCAAACTGGAAGTGGGACAGTTGCCAATTGATCCAACAAGCCATCCAAGAAACGGGACCACGCAATTAACGCGGTATGGTGTTGGAGATGCTTTTTTTACATCGGGCTCATAACTGGCTGCATACTCACCAACATCGGACTTAACTCAGTAAAGTGACAAAACGATAAACAAGTAGTAATAGTATAGGGTACTAGGCAGACAGATGCTACGTATTCCGAGTCGTGAACCCGAACCATGCCATGAAGGCCATGAAGTGTTGTTCCGCTTACGGTCTCCAAAATTCATTCACACTCCTCATCGGGTTGGATGCTACTAAAAACCACCAAATTTTCCTTGAGGTACTTTTAATGAAAGACTTCCACACTAAGATGACTCGTCTAGAACCTCCTTGCAACACTAACCTCATCCCTCCCACAACGACCCTTCTTTTCACAGCCACCTGCTTCGTTCGTATTTTATTAAAAGCGACGGTAAACATGCTCTGATTCCTCTGTTAGGGGGGTCGATGATAGGCTTTTCATGCAGAAACTGAAGCAGTTCAATCGAAAGTGGAAATGAACTGATTGTTACGGTAAAATAAGTTATCCCGTTGTTCCTACTTCCATTCGAGTGTTATGACAAGAACGGATTTGGGCACGTGCAATGAATTGATTATGTGGCTTATACCCATTATTTATTCTCCCAGCTTCGTTATTGTAAACAACCAAATGTAATCAAACAACAATCAACAAATAAGTAATAGAAAAAAGCGTAGCATTTTACTACACGAGTATTCCTTGCAAAAAAAACCTACTGATCCTTATTAAGAAACAGATTTATTATGAGTTATACCTCCGACAAACCTTAAAGTAGAGACAGAGAGATCCCTCGGTCTACTACGAGGGCAAGAGTTAAAATAAGCCATTATGTCAAAAGAGCTATCGTGATTGTCTAGTTTTACTGCCTCTTGAACAATAAAAATACAGAGCTCCAACTTTTCAGAGCCGTAAAAGGGAAGAGGTATCGTCACTGGTTTTCTAGCTGCCATCTAGAATCAAGTTTGAAAGCTACAGTAAACCAGGAGGCTTATGACTATAGGGCAATTCCAGATTGGATTTCAGATTTCCGATTCAATGTCTGTCCATGTCCGTGTGTGTTTACACATCAAAGGGCCCTACGAACAAAGGGATTTGCACGAATATCTGCATGAAAAGACAGGAGCCGCCAGTTAAAGAAATTACGTGATAGAAGCCTAACATTTAGATGCTTCTAATGCTTTGCGTTGTTTTTTGCCTTTCAACTGAATTCTGCTTTTTTCTGCCTTGTGACTCGATTACATTAAAATTCTCTCTTAATTTTTCGAATCATGGCAATCGTAACGGAGCCTGGTGTTTATAGGCTCCGCATACACTTCCAAGGAATAATCCGAATTCCACAGTAGAATAATCCAAATGTTCCCCTTGATAATGTGCTTCGCACCCATTCTTTCTTTCGAACCGCTAAAATATTTATTGACGAGCAAAGCTCTCAGCCACCCACAATAGCGGGTAAGGCCATTGCTGAGAGAAGTTTTCGAGGAAAAGTGAGGCTTTCCCTTGGAAAAGTCGCATGTATAGTATCTGACGGACTTTGCGCCCTCTTGATGGATGAACCCGGAAAAACGTACTATTTCGGTTTGGTAGGAGTATGACGAACTAGGCGAGCCCGAAGTACACCTTCACAGCTTGAACTCGATTACAGATTCCTTTTTTTCAACAAAAGACCCGGTAATTCAACCTCATCTGTGAAAACTACTGAATTCTGCTACTGGGCACTTAGGCGAATTTTCTACTTATCAAAAACATGGCGCGAGAATGATAGCCAATACAAAGGTTGAGGAAATAAAGTGATTACTCAGATCAAGCCCTGTAGCGCCCCTAGTAATCCGAATGAAAACTCTGGAATTTTCAGAATATGTTCCGGGTTGTGCAAGGACGGATAGGGCTTACCATACATTAGTAAATAGTCGTTCGCTCGGTATAGCTCGGTGCCTTATTCATGTTATGCTTATGATTTCTGATGGCCAGTTAACCCAAAACCTAATGGCAAGATCTTTTACAAACAACCCTACAGCAGTCATTAAGAATAAACAAGAAACAGAAGGGTGATCACGTAAAGAATAGGGTGCATATGTTCATATCTAGCGCATAAGGGCAGTAGCCGCCCAGACTGTGGGCGCTCCCAAGCCCAAGCAGGTAATTTAGGCTCCAGCGGAACAGGTCCACTAAGTTTGTCAGAATCCAACTCTTAGAAGAAATCAAATGCAGTGCAACAAGTGGACTCATTCCAATCAAAAGCCTTCAACCCATTAGTGAGAAGAATTCGTGCCCAACTGTACTCGTACGAATAATGGACCGGAAAAATTAACCAGAGCCCTTCACAGGCGAGCTTTTCTCATATACCAATCATTCATAGACATCCGAAACGCTTACCTTTTCCATGAATTCCGAATAATTGTGACGAAAGATAGAACAGCATAATGACCCATAATGTGACGGCTAGAATTGCCGCCCCCTTCACGGTGAACATGCAATTCGTCGTCCTTCAATAAACTGACATTTGTTTAAACAATAAACAATCACGTCATACTGACGGCACAATGATTTAAACACGAAATAATAAATTTGTAGAGCACTATGACTTTCAGAAATCGAAAGAATTTTGATGTGAAGTTTCAGTGAAGCCCTGAAATATCGGCAGCTGTGTCCGAGCAGGGATTCCATGCG